AGTTTCATTTATGTGTTTTTTAGGTTTGTAATGTAAGAAAACTCGATCTACCACAGTCTGAGTCCTAGGGACAAACAGCACATTGTCCAGCCATGAAGACTTAAGAACTTTCTTTTTCCTCCCTGTATACTCTTCAGTTTCTCAAATGAACTGACGATTCAACTGCAGTGGGCTATAGATATGATCCATGAACTTTTTATGAGAAATCACATTTGCAGAGCAAAACACCCTGATGCCCACCTTCTCCCTTCTTCCTTCTCCTGAAGACAAAGCCACAGGATTCATTGCAGAAATCCTTGAAAGAGATATCTTTTACAAATTAAAATTAAAAAAATTATTTACTTATTAATTTTCTTAGAGCACTGATTTTGAGCGTGCAAACAAAAGTAACCATAGCCAACAATTCTGCAACAGCACTCAATTCCCTTCACTGGCTTTGGAATAGTTAAGCTCAAGGATTACTGTGTGGCTGTGAGTTTTTTAACCAATTTAATCACCTCATTAAATTCTAAACCATTTCACTTCCAGCCAAAGGCTTATTATGCAAACATATGTCCCATTCTCAGAAAAACAGAGCGGGGAAGTAGAGCAAGACACTGAACCTGTGGGTGTCAACTGCACAGGGCCTCAGAGCCAGGGGGTAAATGTCATAGTTCTGACTTGGCAGCAAGCAGCCAAGGTTTTATTCATCACCTGCTGAAGTCAGCAGCTTCTGAAGCCTCAGAGCTAGAAGAGACAGAAGGGGAATCTGGGCCCTGGCAGGATGACCATTAGTCTGTTAGATGGGCACTCTGAGCCTCCAAAACAGCCCTGCAGACAGCATCTATCACTCTTGTCCCTGCTTGTTTAAAAATGAAAGTGCAGCAGCAGGACCAAGCATCAGATCTAAAAATATCAACAAGAACTTTTGCAAGATTCTTCCTTTTGAGACCATATAAATAACCCACATAGGCTTCATGAAGCTCCCGCCCGCCGTGGCTCTTGCTTCCAGCATCATGCACTATTTCAGGCAGCAGCACTGACTCCCATCAGCACCTCTCTCCGTAAGGAGTTGGCAGGTGGGACAGGCTTGGGCCAGGATAGGGGAAAAGGACTCAACCAGAGGCAGGGCTGGGTGTGAGGCCCGACTCATTGAAGTGATATGTTCATTTATTTATAATTTAAATCCTAGTACTTTCAGAAGGATTTGTAGTGGTTTACACAATCACCCACACTCTCCAGGAGTTAAAATTAAAAATAATAACAATATTTAAAAAGGAATCTTAAGCCATACCGAAAAAGGTTAGTAATAACAGTTTCTCTCTCTTTGGGCATATGTCCTTGGCAGTGGGTAAAATAGTTTGTAAACAGCAAATATGAGGGAATTAAGAGGATTAGGTAATAAGGAAGAATTAGGAAATTGGCGCAGTTTATTTTGGTCATCCAGATCCTCATTAAATACTCCTCACACTCCCCATCCCTTGGCTGTGCAATATGTTGGAAAAGAAGAAAGATCTAAAATAGATAATCTAAGTTTCTACCTTAGGAAACTAGAAAAAAAGAGAGCAAATTAAAGCCAAAGTAAGCAGAAGAAAAAAAAACCATAAAAAATTAGAGCAGAAATCAATGAAATTGAAACCAGAAAACTAATTATGTCAACAAAACCAAAAGCTGGCTCCTTTGCTATGCAATTCAGTGTGGTCCATCCGGAGGGCTCCCATCCTTGATAGAAGTGTGGGCATGCTGTCCCTGGTTCCCCCTCTGAGCCACCACAATCTCCCCATAGGAGATGCAGCAGATGTAGAGAATATCCTTCCCTGTTGGGATAGATAGCTTCCCAAGGTGTCAGCCGGCTTCATGAATAATCTGTGTAATGAGGCCAATGAGGAATAAGGACCCGAGTGCATTTTAACTGTTCTTTTCTAGATATGATTGTTTCTGTTTAACCCAAATGAATGAATTTTCCCTCCTAGCCCAGTAGATGTCTCAGAAATGGGGAGGGCCATGGGAGAGTTGAGGCATTGCATCTTTCTGAATAAATACCCGTCTCATATGAGATAAGTGGTTTTATTCAGCCAGAGGATTCCAGCACTTCCCTGAAGACTCATCAAGCTGATCTGCTGAGTTCATCAAGGCTTCTCCCCCTTCCAGGGTTGACACTCTCCTCCCTTCCCACCCCATCCAGTCTCCCACTACCATTTGCAGTATAGTAACTTCTTCTAAACGCTAAGCTAACCTTTTTGTGAGAGAGAGAGAGAGAAAAAAATAACAGCAACTCTTTATGACTCATATCATTTTAATGACACCAACAGATGGTGACATTTCATCAATAACCCTTCTGCTTATAACCTACGGATTAACTCCTTTCTCCATCTGCCAAAGTCACCAGGCAGGCAATGCCACTAGCAAATAGCAGAAAATAATTGTCTGTTTAGATGCATAAGCTCTAAACACACTACTGTCCAATGCAAACAATTAGCTATATTGTACGGCTTCCAAAAATGGCATTTGAGGTGGCTGTTGCTAGGGCAGAAATGGACGAGGAGAAGACAATGTGTCTTAGGCAATATACACCGTGCTCCCCATGGGGACTTCACAGCCTCTTGGGGGACGAGTTCTACCATAGAGAAGTACAAGAGCCTAGAACCCTGGGGTGGATTTGAGAAGTGTCCTGAGAGCAAGGCTGTCAGCATATTTTAGGGGAAATTCTCTTTGTTTTCTCGCCAAGTGCAATCTCACTCTGGTTCAACGGGTGACAGCTTGCAAACTGGTTAGAAAAGTGGAAAAAAAAAAATACTGTTCCAGGTCTGGGGCCTGTTTGCCTTTGCCCAAGCTGAGGCTGCTGGCATGTTCATTAGTCTTAGCCCCGGGAGAGGCTGCTGAGTTTAGAGCACTGATTTTCAAACTTTTCCTGGAGTTGTGGCATCCTACCTTTGACCTTGCAACAACCTATCCTTACATCCTAAAATTTCTGAAGAGTGTCTGTAGAAAACAAAAACAATGCAAAGTGACTCAGAAAAACTTCAAAGTACTTTTGATATAAGGGTCTAAAATAACTTGATACCTGCTGAGATTTCTGTAGAAGCCTCAGAATCGTGCTGAACCAGGGCCAGCAATTATTGATTAGGGCTTTGCAATCTCTAATACGGAAAACCTGAGACTGAAACGCATAGTGGTGTGCTAGTTGTCAGACCTTGAAGGAATCAGTGTTGCATAGTGGGAAGAGTAGATGACAGAATCAGGAATCCTGGCTTCCAGTCTTTGCTCCAGCTGTGATCCTTTGGGCAGGAGCCACCATCACATGCAGGTACTCACTGAATGAGTGCACTAGGTTCTAGGACTCTTAGTTTCAAGGAGACTTGGATTGAAAAGGGGAGACAGAACAAATGGCTCCAAAAAACTTATTTACCCAGTTACAGGGATGCTGGCAGAATATGTGGCAAGAGCTACTATTTGTTCTCTAATATCTATTCTGCCTGTTATGGACTAAATTGTGTCCTCCCCAAATTCATATGTTGAGGCCCTACTCTCCAGGACCTCAGAATGTGACTGCATTTGGATAGAGCCCTTAAAGAGGTGATTAAGTTAACATGAGGTCATTAGGGTGGGTCCTAACACAATATGACTGGTATCCTTATAAGAAGAGGAGATTGGTACACAAAGAGATATATCAAGGATTTGCACTCATAGAGAAAAGGCCATGTCAGGACACAGCAAGAAGGAAGCCATCTATAAGTCAAGAGGAGAGGCCTCAGAGGAAAACCAGAACTGTGAGGAGATAAATTTCTGCTGTTTAAGCCACCCAGTCTGAGATGTTTTGTTATAGCAGTCCTGGCAAACTAATATACTGCTCACCTGCTTTAGTGACAGAAAGCCCACATTACTTAGACCTGGAAAAAAACCCTCCATTTTCAGCCTCTTTTGCAACTAGGTAGGGCCGTATGATTAAGTTCTGACCAATGAAATGTAATCAGAAACATCCTCTGTAAGTTCTGGGATGTATCTATAACGGGTGGAAGTGTGACTTTCACCAATCCTTCGCCCTTCCTACTGGCTGGAATGGGGACATTTTAGTTAGGGCTTGAACAGCTACCTTAGGCCATGAAGTGGAGAAACAATATAAAAGAATCTGAGTTCCTGACACCCACTGAGAGCCATTCTAGCCCCGGGCTGCCTGTACTGCCTATACTAAAATTCCATCTTATTCGAGCCACAGTTACTTTGGTTGGGTTTTTAGTTGCTCACAGTGGAACCTTACCCTGCCTGATTCAGTGCCCTCTTTATGAGGAGTCTAGGGAGAAATATCTTTCACTCTCAGCACTAGGAAGTCATGCTTCTTTTGAGAAACTTTGAAAAATCTTAGAAATACCATGAATCAGGTAAATGATACTATTTTTTCCTTTGCTTTGCGCTGGGGATTTCAGAGCTATATTTGTAACCCCTGTCCGGCAATCAGGTGCTGGAATCTGTGCTCACTTCACTCCAGTCTTACTCTTTTCCTTTCCTTTCCATCCTCTGCTGAATTCTCTCAAAACTATTCATTTTATCGTTTTTCATCATGTGTATTTTTGCAAGCGACCTCGAATCTTTTTGAAAAAGGCGAGGGCAGACCTAAAACTAAAGCCCTTCAGCGGTCTAACAGAATTTTGAGGATAACTTTAGCAAAGAGGTGGGGCAGGAGGAGACGTTATTCTAAGTGACCACTTGTGAAAAATGGAAAACTACCTTCTAAGATTCATTTTCCAATACTGAAGATGGGTATCT